TAATTTCACTGATCTATAATATTAATCTGCACTAATCTTTCTCTGGAGCTCAAGTATCACAGGTAAATATTTGTTATCGAATCGCTTATTATCTGACGATCATAGAGCGCATTGTCAATGCAAATGACATATGATAAACCGTTCATTCCGATATTCATGCGCGTAATACAAACATGTATATAATTTAAAAAATATTCAACAGAATCATCGTATTATACATATGCCTTCTATGTAGATAAATGTAGTCTAGTTAACAAGTTTGCTTTAAACCAATTAAGACTGAATCGAGAGAATACTCTATTAATAGTTTGTGAAAATTTCTTTCATTCTTAAAACAAATTAGCTGATATATTATTTTTTGTTTAGTAAATAATGTTTGTCATGCTCACATGTTTCATTTTCTTTCGTCTATTTTAACTCATAACCGTTCTATTTTCTTAAACGTTACATTTATTATTTTATTATGTCAAATGTCAATTATAGATTTGTAGAACACGTTAACTAGTTGTTCATACTAATCTTTCATTTTCTTCTTTTGTGTTTGATAACTATAACATTGAGTATGAGTCGTTCGATGTGTGTATGTGTGTGTATTACTCAAATATTTTGTTATGCATTATTAATGTTTGTCTCTTACATTTATGAACTGGCATAAAAAAGTTCATTGTATTGCCATATATTATGTCAATATAAATTTAACGGACCATGTTAAGAGAGAAAGAAGAAAAATTCGACCTTATCTAGCATTTAAAATACAAAAAAAAAAACTTTCCATTTATAGAATAACACCAGTATGTGCGATTTAATTACACTTTTGATTTCTCTATTATACGCGCGTGATTATGTCAACATTCAATATTAAAGAAAATGTAAAATTGTCTACTATAAACATTGTAGACCAACTTTTAGTTAAAATAGTTTTGTTCTCTCAATAGACTTCTATCAATCGGAATCGAACTAAATTCGGCAAAGTAAACCCTTCATTTAATGTGCTCTTAGAAAGGATAGAAGGGAAAATATGTTTATTAGTCTCTCTATACTGATTGTTGCTTCTTACTATCAATTAGTTCAACGAGCTCGATAACATCTTGAGTAAATTAAGTGTTGGATGACAAATATAATATTTAGTTAAATATTTCCAAAGACTTAAGAGCTCTCAAATGTATAAAATCGTTTTAAATGATATAAATGGAATTTGATATAGACGTGCAAAGCTCTATTAAAACAGAAAATTTTGTCATAAACCGGATATATATAGTTTTGTGTGTCAATGAAATGCTATTTTGAAAATAATGTCGTAGATCATGCCAAGTTCGTAAAAAAAACTTGTGCACATTTAAGTTAAAGAAATAAGTCTTCTTATTTTACAATTTCATTCTATTATAATCTTTATTATTGCGATTAACACTATATATCCCTTATACTGATGAAAAGAAAAAGAAATTAATCCCAAATGGATGGAAAACATGCAATCAAAATCACAAATTTTGTTAGATTAATAAAACATTAGATGCTATTATTTATTCTGAACACTTTTGACGTGCGTCTATTTAATTAAGTAGCATCTTACGACATCATAAAAGTATTTTAAACAAATTTTTTACTTATTCGATCAACCTCCATACGATTCATATTTTTAATAGGTATCATCTCTCTTCTACATCACTGACATTTGTCTCTAATCTGAACATAAGGAACGAACTATCAGTTTAAGGTGAAATGAACAACTTATTTGCACAAATTTTCATTTGGTCCAATAAATCGTAATCAATTGTTTTTATGTTTCTATGTATATGTAGTTATCACTCAAACCGACATAATTTTAACCTATATTGCACTCAATATCTAAACATTTAAAAACAATTATGCGCGTCATTGGCACTCAAATCATATACAACTCTCTCTCTCTCGCTTATAATTGAAGTCAATTAGAGCAAAAGAAACGGAGAAAAAGAAAAATAGCGCAAGAGAGAGGGAGACAAAGTTCACCTTACATCTTACCGTTCCACAATGTAACTATAACAAGTAGACTATAGTTACTTTTCTTCCATCTTCGCTTCTTTTTCGCTTTTTCTTTCTTTCTCTCTTTAACGAACGTAAAATGTCGCTAAAGATAAGATCCGAATCATTTAAGAAATAGAAAAGTTGAATTATCGGTTAGTTTATTTTATCGCGTTTATTTACATTATGTAAAGAAAAAAATGTCATCTAGATAATAAAACTGTTTTGACATGGACAAAGACTAGTATATCCATCTATCTACATATTGGTAGCTACTGCTATTTTTTTGTTCTCTATCCTCATCTATTCTATTGCTGGAATGATCTAATCTTATGTTTTCGATAATTATTACACAAATGTAGAGATATAGGCATAAATATAATACGATGATAAGGGAAACAAAGTAAGATGAGATAAAAAATGTCCGGTATTGTCATTTTGTACACATTTACCGAAAAAAAATTTCTCTTAGATTATTAAAACAAATTGTTCAGTATTATTGAAAATCAAATATCATCATTGAAGATCTATATGAAGTTTTCAGATACTTTTAGATAAATATGTAAAATTTTTATCATTTCACAAAAAATTTTTACCACGTGCAAAAATTCTCATTCTATTATATATTTTTCATCACACGTTGTACTTCCCATATACGTTGAGCGTGTATGTGATATAGATATGCATACATAACCCATTGTATATGTAACTCGACGAACATTATGAAAAAAATACGAAAATATTTGAATCAAACGAAACATTCCGTTTTTTCAACGTCTTTAGCCGTTGATAGATTTGAAAAGTAAGTTGTTTTTTCGTAGATTTTCTCTATTTTTTTAATCAATATTAACGAATTAGAGTTTTTTTTTTTTTGAAGTCCGCTTTCGACAACTACATATGTAAATGTAATAGTTGTTGATGATTTTTATAGAGTTTTTTTGTAGTCTGAGTTCATTCACTCAATCAGCAGACAGCCCAACATTGAATTTCACTTAATCGAACACAAATAGTCACAATTATAGCAAAAATAGAATATCTGTTATACCACAACTTCTCATCCTCCACTTTACACGAAAAACTGGTTTATAAGTTATTCGGTTCGATTGCGCAGACATTATTGATTAGTGAGAAAGAAACAACAGCTAAGTGGCTCCCCCATTGCCTCGTCTGGTTAATCAATTATGTGTTAATGGCCGTGTGTAATTCGTGTGATAATAATCAGCGTGATTGAAATGAACTCGTACAGCATCTAAAATTTTGCTTATTTAAGGGTACCCCTCTCTCGTTTGAAGCTTTCCGTAGAAATATTGTGAAGCATAAACTAAAAATAACAAAGCCTTCTCCATTCTAAGACTGGATTGAAGAGATCGTTGAAAAAAAACACATTTTGTACATCGTGGTTTTATTCATGACATTTGCGGCGACGCTTATATCTCCACGAAAAATCATTGAAAAATTTTGGAACACGTCTCATTGTGAAGAGAACGCTATCTTCGAACAGACTATGTATAAGAAAAACTTTCAAATGTACAGGAGAAGAGCGAAAAGCTTAGGGAACTAGTTGATCAGTTTTTTCATGCTTTGAAGGAAAAACTTAAAAAATTCATAACCTCTGGAAGGAAGGTCGTGGAATGTTGGGAGTGATCTCATTTTGTAGCCCTAGATTTAGTTAGGATATGTTCAGCTCAAAATCCAAAATTTTTTCAAACTAGAGGAGAACGTACCCTTATCTTGAAGGGTGTATCAACTATTCCAGTAGAATTATTTAGTATGTTGATCAAGTAAAGCGGCTTTCAGGTCTACTTAGCGCTTATTAAAATTATATACTTTTCTTAGACGAAAATTCCTGTATAAATCACGATATTTTAAAGTATCTGCTTAATAACATTGAGAGGAAATAGAGTTGTCGTGTCTAACGTGTACATACTGTGTGGATTAATTTATCGTATTGCTGTTATCATCTCATTTGATACTCGTTGTTGATTATGAATAATAAAGGGAAGTTATTGTCCTGATAACAGATAATGTATTCAACAGAAAAAGAACAGAAACAAAAAGGATTTATTGTCCCAATTTTTTTTGTTACTCATGATTTTCACTTTGAATCTCAGAATATAAATGTAGATTTTTTTCCCAGATATTTTATTATAGTTCGAATTGAAAATATTAATTATAACACATGAATAAACATCATAAACGTATACAACAGTATACTATTTACATAAATCTCGCAAATTTACTCACCATCGTTATACACCTGATGAAATGAAATTATTGTCGGTATGTAGTTAGTAATCGCTTTTATACTTATTTTCATATCTTTACAGCAACCTCATTTACAGAAATGTGTGATTTTCTAAAGAAAACTGAGAGATAACAGCCTTTTTCTAGAGAAAATTATTTATTACATAAAAAGTTGTGTCAACTAAGATGCCTTCGTCTACACTGTTTGTATCTGTACCTTCCAAGAATCCTTACAGTTACCATTATTGTTCGTGTTCGTGTTCGTGGTGTCTGTAATATCGATCACCTAGTATGGCAATGATGTCTTGCTCGTTTTATTGTTACTTTCATTTCCATGTTGTGCGTTTGGAGTTATTGTGTTAGCTTCCAATCTCGTGCCAATACTGATTACGTAAAGTTTATTGTTTATGTGTTCTGTATCAGCTTAGTAAACAGAATATGTGCAACCAGAGCTTACTATGTACTACATTATCTACAGAATTCAGACTACAATGATCTTCTGTTATCATGCATCGTATCGTAGATGAGAAATTCACTTTATCATAGATTCATTTGTCGTTTGTAGCGAGGGAGAGAATAAAAGAGATTATTTGGAACAAAAGAAACGAGGATGTTGGTTATTGTCTTTGTTTTAGCAAAATCATAGTCTATATATATTGAATAGTGATTTTATCTTAGACGAAAAAAGAAAAATTCGTCATTCTCGGAAAAGAGATTGGATTTGTTTTTTAAATATTAGATCTCGATAGATCAATATGGCTTTATACTATCACCATACATCGTACGTATAATCAAATTAAATCATGTGTAAAAAGTATTTCAACTCTTATTTTGAAGTAACACTTTTCTTCACTCAATTTTTCTGCCCATACTCATCCACTATCATAGCATTTTCTGGGATGTGTCACCAATACCCGTATGTAAATAGCGCTTTGTCGTCCGTTGTTAAGGAAGTAAAATACATAGTAAAATAAACATCATTGACATTTTTATGATATATCACCGATCTTTTCGACTCTTCATTAACTCTGATTTTTATCAACTACTTTTTTCTCAGTCTTCCAAATTGAAGCCAGTTTTTATCAAAAAAATGGTCTCAATTAGGAAGTCTTCATTAACATCAAACAAACATCAGAGGGCGGCAAGCCAAGCGAGGACGGAAAATAGTGGTCTCAATTAAGAAGTAGCCCCTTTTTTTCTTGTGGTGTCTGTCTAGAAAATTCTGCTCTTATTGCTCATTCCCTAATCAGAACAGACTACATCCATCTACAGCGTAAAATGCTTTACAAAAGTTTTTTGTGCCAGCGTTGAGATTCTGTACATGTTATAGATCTCCAATTTGATCGATTGATATACGCCACAGATCCGACAACTGATCGAGTTTCAAGATATTTCTGTTTTATTCACACTGAGAAACTAACGCCTCTATCGACTAATCCAAGCTATTTATAACACATGCATATCCATTACTATAGAAAGTTATTATAACAGAAGTATCTAAGTATAACAGATTTTGACAAAGTTAATGTCACTATTAAATTTAAGAATTGAAATATCTGTGCGAAATTATTTTCATCCATTCCCGCAATAGTAGAAACGAGAAAAACATAAAAAGCCTTGAGTTTTAAATGTTGGGAATCTCAAAACTCGTCTATGGATCAAACGTTATTTTATTCAAAGATAGTCGTTTAAGTACTCTTCATGATAAATCGATGAGAAAAATGCGTGAGCGGGAGAAAAATCAAAAATTGTGTCAGTGTGCATGTGTTTAAAATAGCTGAGGATAGCAATAGAAGCCTTAGTTCAACAGTGTCAGCAAAAAGCAAACATGTCAAAATTGGTTTAGTTATCGGACCTGTCGCTTATATATATTAATAATGAGCTCTAGAACATGTATTCGTAGATAGGATCCCGGCGTTGGTACAAAAATTTTGTAAAACATAATATGCTTCAAAGGCAGAGCTGGAACTGGGCCGGTAGAGACCGGTATTTCACCGGTTCTCTTTTTACCCTGTTTTTCGTCAGAAAACTGAAATTTGACGTCTTTTTCAGTCAGAATGAATAAAACGATGCTCAAGACATATTATTTTCATCACTTGCTGTTATAGACTCGTTGTTGTGAAGGTTCTCTCAGATATGCTCGCAAACTATTTCATTTCTGGGAGAAATTTTTTCTCAAAATCGATTTTCAAAAAACTTTGTCAGTATTTTGCCGGTTTTTCACCGGTTTGAGTTATAATTCCAACCAGCTAGTTTACCAGCCGGACCGGACCAGTTTACCGGTTCCAGCTCTGTTCAGATGCATCCTAGCAAAAACTATAGCAAACTCCGGCTCAAAAACAGAGAGACTTTTATGTAAATAAGCACTGGAGTTTTTTTTTCCGATTTTCTTTTTTTTTGCTATATTTGCTATATCTACTCGAAATCGATTCTAGTCAGTAGATCTCGATATTTTTATTTATTAGTAAAAGATTCTTAGTATTCGTGACTGTACAGATCTCTACAAAGTATAGATAAATGGATGGTGTGAAAAACATAATACATCTTTCTTTTCCCCCTCAAAGCCATCAATAGATAACAAAAGAACAGCACTATACATTTAATAATGATAACATCTTCTAACCTTGCAAGTAAGAAAAACTATTTCTAGTTCTAAAATACATTAATTGTTTGACTGAACGTTTTTAATACTATTTTAACAGATTAACTTTAGTGAGCGACTATCCACCAGTTAAACTTAATTATCTATCATAATTCTATCATTAGAGTTAAGACAAGAAAAAAAGAAAATTTCTTTTTTATGTACATCTAATATTGCAGATTGTTTTTCTGTTCTTATCTATCTATAAAACACCATACGCAAACAACCGCTACAAATAAAATTGATATCATAGTAACGCTCACGAACATAATTTTTAATTCTTTTTCAAGACAAAGAAACATTAGATAGCGAACGTACACTATGATTTATAACGATTTTTTGTATAGGAATCTATTTGACAGAAAGCTTGCTTTACAAAACCAACATCATCCGATAGATAGGACTTTGCGTTCTAGTAGGAAGATATTTTAAAGTTTTTCAAATTTATTAAAGAATCGAAAAACACGAGAAAAGGCATTTATTTCTATTTGTTTATATGAATTTATGCATTCTCATATACTCAACATGGGAAAGTGGCAGCCGCCCACAAATTTTTTCTTTCTGCTATAACAGTGATAATGCCATGATGAGAATACAGTAGATAACCACAGACGGCATATATAGGAAACCTAATCACACGATATATAAGTCACATGAGAACAACAAAAGAAACTTTGATAATAAAAAAGAAAAGAATGGAACATGTGTGACGGACCCTATTTTGTCATTTTCCTTTGTGTCAATAGTCATTATGACCCCGAAAGAAGTGATTAGACATGCAGTAGTATTTTCTTTTTAATATATAAATATCTATCATAACTATTATATAATATAAAACTTAGTATACATAACTATATAAAAAATGCCATTAACAGTAAAGAAGTAATGTGTTTATTTATAAAGTTTCTTTTTTGATATGTAAAATGATAAAGGATAGAAAAAAGGTGTCTTACTGGATGAGATATGAGGGTTGTAAAAAACATAACACAAAACAGTAAAAGTATAATAGAAAACAAGAACACGTGATTGGCACTATACTATTGTTTGTAGAAAGAAAAATATTGATTAATGTTCTATTAATAAGAAAAATGAGTGACGTATCATTAACTGATGAATCTGGAAAATTTTGATTAAGATACCATCTTTCAAAAGTCTGTTTATTTATTTTAATTTTCTTTAAATTGTAAAATTATCAATTTTTTATCATTTCTGTAGAAGTCCTGATCAAACTCTACCAACATTATTTCCATTTGAAGAAATTAAAGATAACAATAATCATTTTACAACTAAATCGCAGACACCTACCTCACTTTCGCCACAACAATCTCAAAAAGTTTCATTTATTCGAACACTCACATCCGCATCATCAACCGATCCAATAAAACGAAGTTTTTTTCGATTTAATTCAAATTCATCATCAACCAGTGATTCTACAAATAAAATGGGACAATCGGGATCAAATGTAAAACGAAGTCAATCTGATGTCCAAGCCTTTTTAGATAAAGAAAAAGAGAAATTTATTGAAAAAATAGAAAATCCTGTTAAACAAAATATACGTTTTGACGATTTTGATCGAATAAGAACAATTGGTACTGGATCATTTGGGCGAGTATTGTTAGTTGTACGTCGTTCAGCGAATGAAAAACTAGCTTTAAAAGTACTCGACAAGCAAGTTGTGGTTAAAATGAAACAAGGTAAATAGATTATGATGAATGAAAATAATCATCATCTATTTTCATGTATTGTAAATGTTTAGTTGATCATACATTATCGGAAAAACGCATATTACAAGCCTTATCGTGTCCATTTATTGTTAATCTGATATGTTCTTTCAAAGATAATTCTTATTTATATCTTGGATTAGAATATGCACCTGGTGGAGAAATGTTTACACATTTACGAGCTGTTGGACGTTATACAGAAGATATGACAAAATTTTATGCATCGCAAATAACATTAGCATTTGAATACTTACATCATTTAGGCGTAGTAAGTTGTTTCAACACCTCATACATATACACTCGTAGAGCATATTATTTATAATATGATATGGATAAATATTTGCAAGCAATACCTTGATGGGTGTTTTCCTTATTCACTGTAGCTATATCGTGATTTGAAACCGGAAAATTTACTATTTGGAAGTGATGGCTATTTGAAAATGACCGATTTTGGCTTTGCAAAAAGAGTCAAAGATCGTACTTGGACTTTGTGCGGTACTCCAGAATATCTCGCTCCAGAAATTATTCTCTCACGTGGCTATAATAAAGGTATATATCATTCTATGATTATATTTTTAAAAATCAATTTTTTCTTTTATTTTAGGTGTAGATTATTGGGCTCTGGTAAGCATTATTATATTCTTTTCATCTGTTTTTAACTATCATTTCTATTTAATAGGGAGTGTTAATGTATGAAATGGCAGCCGGTTATCCACCATTTTTCGCTGATCAACCCATTCAAATATATGAAAAAATTGTTAGTGGACGTGTCAGATTTCCCACCCATTTTACAGTCGATTTAAAAGATTTATTAAAAAATTTATTACAAGTTGATTTAACAAGACGATATGGAAATTTAAAGAGTGGAATAAGAGATATTAAAGAACATCGATGGTTTTCTTCGATAGATTTTATCGCCGTATATGAAAAGAAAATTCAAGCACCATTTATTCCAAGAGCAGATCGTGAAAATTATGAAAATTATGATGAACAAGCAATAGTAGTAGCAAATCAAGAAAAATTCTCAAAAGAATTTGTTGATTTTTGATTATATATAGGTTAATTATTTTTTGTTGCTCAAACGATTTTATGGCATGTTTAAGAAAAATACATATCAAGTATCTTTTTTTCATTTACACCTCATGTATAAATTTTTTGAACAGTTGTTTTTCGAATATTTTGTTTGTTTCCATCCATGTTTGAAGGTTATTTTAGCCAATTCTTTTTTATGTATTATTTCTCTACCCTGTTAAGCGCGTTTTATTTTCTAATATAAAACATTATTGATGCTTCGACGTGCACCTTCTTGTTTATTAAAACACACATTTTGTTATTTTTTTCAAACATTTATTCTAAATTTTTTTCTGTTTAATGTATTTCAGCTATATTAAAAAAAAGGCGATGCGCCTTCAGTACATTTCACATTTTACATAATTATTCTGCTAAATCTATTTTTTAGAACTTATCCCTTTATTTGGCAGTCTTTCATTCTTCTATCAGCAAGTTCTTTCGTATTAGGCGTTCACGTACGAGTTGAACAAACAATAAATAACTAAATTTAGTTTCAGGAATAAGGAGTAAAATGAAACAAAATTTTTCTTTTTAGGATCTGAAATTACTGTTTTCTTGAAAACTTGACATTATGAACATTAACAGAAATTTTAATTTAGCGAACGATCATTAGATTAGTTTATATGCATTCTACAATGATTACTTTGAAAACAGATCACCACAGTACGAAGTTCAAACATAGTTTGTCTAAGATCAACATTGCTTAACAGAAGGATGTGTGTCTGTTATGAAAAGGGCAATTCCGCGTAGGTTCCTCACTTTTTACAGCACTAGAAGTCGACAACTTTTCACTATGCTAACTTTGTAGCTCGCATCAAATTACGTAGAAAAACGTTTTTTTGTTCAAGAATAGTCATGTCGTTGTCGCAAGGCAGTAGCCGCAAGACGCTATTTGTCTAACATCGTGCCTAGGGCAGGCCGTTTTTCATTTTCATTAAACATTTTAAAACTTTTTTGAGTAAGCCATTCGATAGAACTTACAAAGTTGTACTTACGCTGAAAATTTCAAGATCACAAGTTTCAAGTTGATCTGATGGAGCATTTATTGCTGTACAACAAAGCACTTTCAATATAAATTTATAATTGCTGTAAAAGACTCAAAACTTAATGCAACATCTCATGCTAGATTCAAGGGTTTAAAAGTAAAGTTAGCTAGTGTGGTTTTTGACTTACAAGGCCTGGAAGGGTTGACTGTGCCCAGAAACCCTCAAGTTTGACGTCGATTGTATCCCACATTACGCTTCAACTTTAGATCAGAATATTTATAATCAGCATCAAAATTTATCTGGAACAAAATTTATTTGTTCGAAACTTGTACCATAAAACGTAATTAATCCATATACTGTTTTCTACATAATTCTGCATGTCGATATCATGGTACACTCTCTGAGAAGTTTGAGATTTTTATTGTGAGCAGTATTAGATTGCCTTCAGGGAAGAAATTTTGATCAAAAGGTGTAGTTCTGAATACAATCGATGTCTAGAGCCCTTCAGACATAACCTGTCCTGTCCTCGCAGGTTGGGGCAGGTTTAGGTTACGAAAATGTTTACAGGACAGGTTACACTACTCGTATCCTGTTTTCAAGCTGTAAAAATAATATTAAGCGTCATCTGTAAAGGGGAAGAAATAAGAACTCTAAAAATAGTTTTTATTAGTCAAAAAAAATATTTAATGCATTAGAACGAGAGAGTATTGAAAACATGAAGACAGTCGTTGAATCCAGATGTTGTTGACGATATATTATTATTAGAAAGTTCAAAGATGTGTAATCTTTTGTTGTTGTTGTTTGCTGCATAAATAAAGTAAATGAAAAGAATTTATTTTATTAGGAAAAATTTTCGAACTTGGGTACTCATTTTTTGCAGTCATTTTTTCGCAGACAGAATAGAACAGATTATGAAAAAAACATTGTAGGTTAGGACAGGTTACAGATTACAAAATAGTTAGTGTGGTTTTTGAGTTACAAGGCCTGGAAGGGGTGACTATGCCCAAAAATCCTCAAGTTTGACGTCGATTGATCCTGCAGGTTACAACCTTTTCATAACCTATAACCTGTCCTGTTCTTGAGTAAAATAAATCTTATCTTATCTGTAAAACTTTAACAACCTATAACCTTTCATAACTTTATATTTTGTAATCTGTAACCTGTCCTAAACTGCAATGTTTTTTTCATAATCTGTTCTATTCTGTTCTGCGAAAAAATGGCTGCAAAAAATGAGTACCCAAGTTCGAAAATTTTTCCTAATAAAATAAATTCTTTTCATTTACTTTATTTATGCAGCAAAAAAACAACAACAAAAGATTACACATCTTTG